ACTGCTCTCTCACAATTATTTTATCTCCCTGTGTCTGTGGCTATATTGGTCATGTCCATCTTCTCCGTAATCTGGACTAATTTTACTCTCTGTCTTCTCCAGTCTCCATAATTGGGCTCAGGAGGGTTTTTCCTATTTTATTAGCCATTTCAAAGAATGAGCTTTTGCATTTCCTTATTCTCCCCATATTTTCCAATTTTCTCCCATCATTTCAGTTATCTTTGTGAATTCTCTCCTTCTTACTTTTCTTTTAGTTCCTTCTTTTCCTCATTTCTTGAGACAAGCACCAGGAAGGATGTGTTTACCTTCCCCACTTCTAACGAGGGCGTTTGAGGTCATGGCTTTCCAAACAGGCTACTTTGTTACTCAGGTTTTAACGCAAAACCTTCTTTCTCTTTGTTTTATGGAGAGCAAGTGACTTCTCCTTTGATTTTGTCTCTGACCCAAGGTTGGGGGGTTTTAGATTTTTGAGTGAAGACATTTTCTGCTCCTCTTTCATTATTTATTGCTACATGTGTGAAACAGAGCCGGAGCAGGTGGCCTGTGAAGAACTCGGTTCTCCAGGTTTTCTGTGTGACCTGTTCCATTGGGTTCTTCCCGGGGTCTTTGGATAAATGGAGATGTGTCATCTGCTGGGAGTCACTGAAGTGATCACATGGACTGTTTGCATTTTCCAATTCTGACGATGTCACTATTTTGGAGTTTTGTGTGCTTTGAGAATTTCACGTGTGCAGAAAGGCAGGGAGACAGGCGTAAGAGCCCACGTCCACACCACCAGGGCTCCACAGCGGTCAGCCTGGCCGTCCTTGCTGTCCACTGGGCATGGACTTCATGACGTCTCACTCTGAGATGCTCCAGTTTCCGTCTTCCACAAGGACACGTCCTCTATGCCGTGAGGCAGGCTTTGCTGCACACAGAGCACCCCAGTGAGGGTCCCCAGTCTCCTCAAACTCCGTCCATATTCAAACTTCCATAATGGTCCCTAAAATGACTTTCAAAATCTGATTTGTTTAAACCCAGGTGCAATCAGTGTCTGGCAAGACATCGAGCTGCTGGTTCCTCAGCTGCCTCCTACTCTGGCCCCTTTCTGAGGCAGAGTGCCGGGGTCTTTTGGAGAGAATCTCCTTTCTATCAATCACCTTTGGTCCTGATAGATCTTTCTACATATGCGCTCCTCCTCTCCCCCCACCGGGCTCTCTGTCACCTCTCTGTACAATGTCCTCATTCATCACATTTAAATATGTCTGGTCCTTCTCTATGGGCACTTGCCAGTCCTACTTCATCTTCATGTGTTCCTGTAGGTATTTCCCAGCCACTCATTTGAAATGTCTTCAAGTGTCGTTTTGAGTGTTTCTCTACAAACAGCTTAGCATTGGCCAGTCTGTTTGTCTTACTTATTAATCTCGGTATGACAGGGTCTGTCTTTTAACGGGAGAGTCCCTGTTGGAAGTCCTTCCCAGGGGACTGTGAGCCCCACTTACTGAGTGGCGGGTTCAGTGCCATCCGGGACACTCTACCGCTGACCAGCTACTTGGCGCGTCGCCGCCTCCTTCTCTCTCCCTTGCTCTTGTGGCTTGGCTCACAGTTTTCCCTCCATTTCTTCCCTTTGCTAACTTGGGAGTCCCAGCCACATCCCCACTGCATTAAGGCCCCTTCTTTCCCTGTTTATGTCACCGACACAGGTCCCTCTGCTATTAGTTAAAAACAAGGTACCAGTTATTCTCCCAAACAAGACTAGAACTTGGCCTGGTGCTGGGGACGCAGACTGCACAAGGGAAGCTCGAGGCCGACGCAGGCTATCTGCCGGGGGTGGGGGGTGGGGTGGCTTCAGGCTCTGGACTCAGCCTCAGAGCCCAGGAAGGCTTCCTGGAGGAGGTGCCAGGGAACCCGGGCGAAGGGGCCTCCGGGGGCTTCTGGAAGTGCTCAGCCCCTCTTCCTTTCCAGCACCCATAAGGGCACAAGCGACCCACTGCGCGCCCTGACCCAGCAGCGCCGTGTGCGGGGACGCAGGGTCAGGCCGGAAGCTGCCCGGGGCTGCGTGGCTCAGAGGCCTTCGGCCACACAGAGGGGCAGTGGCAGAGGCGAGAGCAGGCTTCTGAAGGAGGAGCGTCTGGACTCCTCCCGGGTCTGAGAGCTCTCGGCACAGGCACAACATGCTCCCAGGACGGGGCTAAAGCCAGCTCCCGCCAGGAGGGAGCTGGCCGCGTAGTAGCGTCTCTACCGCGAGCATGTGGCACTGGCGCTGCTCCCTGGATGGCGGGCAGTTGGTGGAGAGAGGGGGCCAGCATGCCCTCGGTGCCCAGGAAGAGAAGCAGCATTGGTTGAGCACCACTGGGTGCTTGGGCCTCTGCCAAGGAAGGTCTGAACCTTGTTCTCCCTTCATCCAGGTAGGGACGAGCTCTTTCCCCTTGTTTTATCCACAAGGAAAGAGGCACAGAGAGGGTTCTTCGCTTGCCCAAGGTCACAGAGGGTGTGGAACCAGGCCTGCCTTGGAAGCCATGCTTCTGCTGCAAGCTGTGTGGGCTTCATTGCTCCATGTAGCAAAACCGAGGGCTGCGCTGGTGAACTGGCCAGGCTGGACGTGCTCTCTAGGGCCGCCCTGGGGATCCTCGGGCCTGGGGAAACCCACTCTGCCCCGAGTCTTGCTGGACACGTCACAGGAGGTGACCCCGGGAGGCAGTCCTATCCCATCCCAAGGTCAAGGGGAAGAGCTGGAGGCTGCCTCCCCAGCTCCACAGAGAGCTTCTGCCAGTTCACAGCTCTGTCTGTCCATCCCTAGGAGCAGAACATCCCTGTTTTAATTGCTGTTTTCTTTAAGAAGGTAGAAGGCCTAGGTCCGTCGAGTGTCCCTGTACTATGACGGTCTAATTATTCCCAACACAGGGTGGTGGGGGGTGATGGGGAAATTGTCACCAATGCCATTTCCTGGCCACCACTATCCTGACTGTCCCCACTGCCATTGTGAATGCTCAGCAGCCTCTGCTCTGAGCCAAGCCCTGAACCCAAAGCACAGGATGGGGACAGGGTTACCCTCCATGCTGCCCAGGAGGCCCAGCTCCGGGTCCCTGTGGTAGCCTGTGGTTGGGGACACATACTGCCTTCCCACCTGATTGGCCTGGCTTATCGCTCCTGCCTCTCCAGCCTGTTAATGAGAGCCTCAGGATGGACACAGGGTCCCGCCCGGCTCCCCTCCTGGGAGCCGCCATCCTCTGCCGACTGTCCACTGGATCCCGGCAGCGCCTGGGCTCCATAGGGATGGATGCGGCTATTTCTGGATCAAGTGACGGGCAGTGGTCCAGCTGCATTGAGAAGCCCAGATTCCACTAATGAGATTTCCTCCGTGAGGCAAGGCCGCCCGCCGTCCTGCGTGGAGCGCGGGGGCCTCCTTGTCTCATGGAGAGGGGCCTCCCTCATTGGCTGGGTGACCTTGAGTCCCAGAGTGTGTGGTTCACAATAATAAAATGACACTCCCACTGCAAGTCCTCTGACCCACTCTGCACCCAGTCTCCCCTGTGTACCCTGTTCCCGCCACAGCTGTGTGAGTCTCGCTGCCACCTCTGTGACCACACACCGAAGCTCGCAAGCGTCCAGCAAGACTCGCCAGGGCGTGGTATGCGGGCGAGGGACCCCGCATGGGCTTGGGCTCCTGTGCCACCACCCACAGCTCAGGCAGAGAGGGTCTGAAAACGCCAAGGCCCTGTGCCTGAGGCCAGCGGCCATCCCCTCTCTGCCCCTGCCGTGGCCTCATGTGCTTCAGAAGCTCTAAGCCGTTTTCCTTCCCTGTCACTTCCGGCAGGCACATCATCAGAGCCAAGCCTTGGGGACTCCCCCCTGCATCTCTGGATTCTGGCAGAGAGCTGTGAAACACGTCTTGAGCACCTGCACTGTCCCAGGAGCTGGGAGGAGCCTCCCTCCTCCACCTCTCACCCCACGTCAGGGCCACTGGTACCGTCTCTGTAGAGAAGGACACAGCTCCCTACAGACCCCCAGGCCCTTCAGAAGGCTTGGCTTTCCCACTGGCCGGTGGGAATGACAAAGGTAGTCAGAGAATTCCCAGGAGGACTCCGGAGCCGCGGCAGAAATCAGGCCCTGCTCAGGTCTGACCCCTCACGGAAACTTCTGGAGGACTTGCAGTCAGAGCAGATTCTCCAAAGATGAGGAGGTGAGGGGGCAATGGAGGCCACGTCAAATGATGGAAAGGAGGGCTTTCAGCAAAGAAGTGCCAGGTCCGCCAAGGGGAAGGTCAGACATGGGTGGGAGGACCCGAGAGAAGGCCTCCTGCCCCCGCACCAGCTCTTGGGGCGGGCTAGGTGTTCCCAAGCCATGATCCCAGGTCCAAGTGTTCCTGCGGATTCTGCCCAGAGGCAGGTTCCATGGGTGAGTAGGTTTAGGAAAAGTGCTCACAGAGCTTCCGCCTGGGAGCCATAATCTGAAGGCTCAGAGAAGTCCTGAATTCTTCCCCGATTAACCCAGTGTTCCCCAAGCACAGAACAGACCTGCTCACACCCCAAAGAAGAGTCTAGGGTGAGCGGAGCCGCCTGCTTTCAGAGGGCTTGCTCTGGAGCCTGACACCGCCGCAGGTTTACCGTGACGACATGTCCACCGAGGAGGGTCACCGCCGCTCCTCCTGTGACTCAGGGCTGCTGCACTCCTCCGGGCCTCACTTTCCCCATCTGTGCCTCTGCATCCTCTGCCTATTTTCAAAGATGCAAATGGAAATGGAGCAGCAGGCAGCTCCGGCTTCTTCCCAGCAAGCTGAACCCACCCTGGTCACCGCTGGCATCAGCTCGGGGCACCCAGCCTGGAGCTCGGATCCCCTGCCTTCAGTTGGTAGCAGCACAGTGTCTTCCAGACTCACAGTGGTGATGTGGAGGGAGTACTGGTCCGGGAGTCCCATCCTCTTAACGTAGGACCAGGATCAACTGACCTCTGGTAGAACTCTGGAGGGGCTGCAGACAGGCCCACTGTGTGTAAACATGAGCAAAAAGTAGGCAGCCGAGTCCAAAACCATGATGTGCTTTATTATTTAATAAGATGATTCTGTTTTTACTACAAAATCTGAGGTTCCGGCAGGCCCAGGGGCTGGCCACTGGAGGCTTGCCAACCAGCTGTGCAGCCAGCTAATGGGCCTAGTGGTTCTGAAAACCTTTGGACCAGCTCAGTGGCTTAGGCAGAGAGAACGCACTTACTCCCTGGCGGGGTGCTTTGGCCTGCAGGTGCCTGCATGGGCTCCCCAAGCACTCCTCCTCCCTGCCCTGTAGCCCTGCTGGACATCTCACAGACGCTTTTCTAAAACCAAGAGAAGATGCCCAGGAATCAGTCTCCAACTCCAGCTGGGGTCAGGCTTTCACTGGCTCAGAGGGGGACATGTGAGCCAAGCCCAGGCAATTCCTGTGGCTCTGGCCACACCTGAGCTAGGCAGGGAAGGACATCCTGGGAGATGTCCTATCAACAGCCTGACCTCCTCTGGACGGCTATGTGGCACCCCACGGTGCTCTCTGAGCACCTGCCTTGGGGATGGGCACTAGCATCTCAGAGAAGATGGTCGGGATGCAGACTCTGCTCCAAGTGGCACTCAGGAAAGAGTGGTTGTGGGCGTGGGTGGCCCCACAAGGAAACCCTCCTCTCCCACCCCTGGACCCTGCCCTGAGGCCCAGCTCCCTGGGCATGTGGCTTTTGAGCCCAAGTACCATAGTTCCCAGGGGACAGAGGAGGGAGACTCGGTGGGGCTGGCCTCTTGTGGAAACTTTGAAGTTGGGGTCAGAAAGCTGCTGGGGTCTTCAAAGGAATGCTGGACAGAAGCCCAGGGAGGACCGGCAGGCATGGCTTCTACATGAGAGTTGTTGCTGGTCCTGAGCAGGTGACCCTTTCTTGTTGGATGTCTTCCCATCTGTAAAACAAAGGGTTTGCAATAATCTATCTCTGAAGTCCTTTTCTGTTTTCCTCAAAGGCTGTGTGTAAATTGGAGTTCCGAAAACAGAAGAAAAGTGGTTCTCCCCAAAGCATGGAATCTGTCCCTGGAGTGCTAGCCCATCCCCCGCTCCAGCATTTGCCAGTGGGAACAGCCTGGACCGTCCCTGCCACAGGGTTGGCTCAACGCTAGGCTGCCCTGTGGGTCGGAGTCCAGCGCCCCCTGGTGGCCCCAAGGCGGGCAGGCCGCCTCGGACCTTGCAGAGGCCCGACGGCTGTGACTCAGGGTGGCACCGCTGCCAGGGCGGTGCAAGGCCTGAATGGGGTTCCGTCGTGGGCAGAGCCGCGGCGCGATTAATTACCAGCTGCTGGGAATCCTTGTCGCCCGCTTGCGGTGACTCACCCAGCAGCCAGGCTCACTTGCGGAGCGCGGGGGCCTCGGTTTCCAAAATGAATTCTGGGGAGAATGCCCGCTCGGGTGGGGCTCCCCACCCTCGTGCCAGAGGTTTCCCGTGGACCTAGCAGACCAGACTGCCCAGACACAGCGCACAGCGCGATGTCACTTTCCCCAGTGCGCACCTGCCAACTCTCAAAGTACTGTGCAGAGCCTTCCACCTGGGTTCTTCTTTGACGCATAGGGATCCCAGACCCTTCAATCCCCGAGAGCCAGGAGCCCCAGCGCCGCCCGAGGTGGACCTGGAGGGAAGCGGGAGCGCCCCCGAGTCCGGGAGTTGTTACAGAGTTGGGTCTGATCCCAGCCTGTGCGAGTCTCCTTGCCGGCCTCTTGGACCTCGGGGTGTGGTAGGAGAGGGACCCTACCCCCACTCTCCATCTCTTCCGTGGCTAGAATCAGAGGAGGTAGCCGGGCCAAGAAGGGGTCTCCCGCGGCTTAGTCCCTGGTTTGGGGCGTGGTTTGGAGCGCCCCCAGTCCAGGAGTCATTCATGTGGGGAAGCCTAGGACCACCTAAAGGGAGACGGGGGCTAGGGGACCCAGAAGGCCTAAATGGAAAGGAGAAACAGCTGAGCTTCTTCTCTGGACCCTAGGAATAGCTGTGTCCCGGCACCGGCCCCCAGAGGCGGGCTGCGGCGCCGTGCGGCTGGGGGAGGGGCAGGGCTGCCCTCCCGGAGCTTCTGCGCCCCACCACGGGGTACCGGGAGTGCTTCTCAGAAGAGCAACAGGGAGGGTACTGTGGGGAAATGCGAAGTCCTTTTCTGCTGTCCCTACTCTAAGAGCGGCAGCCTGTGCTATTCAGCGCTTTGGGCAAACGGTTCAGGTTGGCAGGTGCTGGGCCACCCGGGCGGCACCAACTCCAGGGACTCCGGCGGCTCTCAGAACCCCACCACTCTGGGAGGCGGTGGCCCGGGCCGGTGACCTGCTCTGGCGCCAGGTGGCTGGCCGCAAGTGCCGCGCCCCCAGGTGCCCACGGGCCCCCTTCCTTCTGCTCCTCACTCTCCACCTGCTGTGTCCGCTCCTTTCAGCCATCAGTCTGCCTTCTCGGCTGGATCCCTTTCTTCTTCCCCAGCCTCGGGTCCCTCAAACTCTCTGCCTGCCACCGCTGCGTGCGCTCTCGGAGGGGAGCAGAAAAAGGACCCAAACAGCCACG